GTGTTTGTCCAGTGTTTGTCCAGTGTCCCGACCGCATGTCGGTCGGGACGCGGGACAAACAAGGAAATATCGGGACAGTCCCGATAAAATCGGGACGTCTGGTCACCCTAGGGCTAATGCTGTTTAATACAGAGCCCGTCTTTCCAGGTGTAGAACATCAAGGGGTAGCCATGTTAGTCTGTATCCACAAAAACAACAAGGGGAGTCTGGTGGCACCTTGAGGTTTTTTACCCACAAAAGCTTATGCCCAAATAAATCTGTTAGTCTTTAAAGGTGCCACCGGACTCCTTGTCGTTCAGGTGTAGAACAGTGTTTCGTGTCTGGGAGCTGGGCTCTCGGGCTCCTGTGTTTTGTTCAGCTTTGTATGCTGTGGTCAAACAGGCAGCACTGCAGCTTACCCAGGAAGAATGAGTTGAGCGATGGACCACCTGGGTTCTGATGATAAGGGGGGGGTGAGGCAGCCTGGCACGGGGTAAGTCCACCAGCTTTCTGCCTTTGGAGCTCCACGGGTTCAGTTCCCGGTGGGGGCACAAAGTGATAGTAGTCTGGATCCCCTCCCTAACGGGTGGCTGGCCCCACTACAGATTGCCCCACGGCGCTGCGTAGCAGTCTGTGCTTCAGGAGAGTCCCCGGGACTGCAGAGCCAGGCTTGCGATAAGTCAGAACCAGGCTGTGTTACTGTGAGGGAGTGGGCTGGAGGACAGGACCGAGGTGCTGTGGCAGCACTATGAGAAACCTGTACCATAGCTACCCAAGTACAGGCCTGGGCCTGCGAGAGGCCAACGACCGGCGACTCTCATTGGCTTTAACAGGAAGGGCCAGTGCTCACTGCTGATCTGGCTCAGGCATTGACTCCAACAAGTGTCTTCAGTTGTTTGATTTCCATGAGCTCCAAGTCCTACGATGTCCTTTTGAAGCACTCTGGCTTTGCATAGAGTTGAGCTGTTTCTTTTCATGAGGCCTAGAAGGATCCCCAGTTAATTCCACACAATATGTGAGTTGTCGAGTGACACACCGTGGAGAGAGATTAGTGCACGTCGTGTAGCTTTGCCGCAAGC